AAGTACCCTGCAGTTTTAAATAAAATGTCTTATTTACATCACATCATAAGATATGAAATCCTATACTTTTGCTATGTGAATAACTTTCTGTACGTCCTTTCGTGATAAAAGCGACGATAATAATATGTTCTGTTATCACTAGGTATTAGTTATATTCAAGAGTTCAAGATGTAAAACCAATAACATATAACATCCAGTGCAGGATCTCAAATAGGTTATAAATTGTGTGTCCGCTCTACTTTTGCTTCGACTGATTAATGACAACTTCACGAGCACCGACATCCGTTTAATATCCGTCCGTGCGCATTTCCCCTTATTTAAAAGAACTTTAGATTAATTCTAGATTTTTTTCTCTCTCTTTTGTGTATAAAGACGGGATCGGTGGAGTATTAATATTCGATTCTCTCACGTAGCTGGAGTGCAGCGACAGTCAGGTATTGTTATGAGAGAGGAAGGGGCGGTGTGGGGGGCGGTGGGGGCGCAATTCGATCAGGCTTGCATAAATCGATGCGATACGCCGGGATCGGAACAAAGCCGCAAGCCCAACCCGAGACGAGCAATACCCTAACAACTATGTACAGGTATGACTCCAGGAACGTTGCATTGGGACCTCTTTCAAAACTTTCTATATCAAACAGTCAATTACCAGCAACTGTAACTTGAAAGTAACTTTTTCTGATGATCACGTCGGCTGATTTTTAGATTTGTCACATTAGTGTTAGCAGCACATTACAGATACCTTGATAGCAGCAGTGAAGGTGAAGCTACCAGTTTTCTACGAGTTACGAGATTTTTCTTTTTACTCCCAAAGTCCAGATCTAATTATCTACTGCAGTACACGTTGCCCACCTGCCTCCGGATCTGTATAGGACTATAAGTATTCGACCGTCAGAAAGGAAGTATTCCATAAAGAATTCCAAAACATTTCTGTCTTTTCCGTTTTAAATTTAAGAGCGGTGAAACGCACCTGTATTGACTGGCATGTCTTTGGGTTTGTACAACTGTTACAATAGAGCTAATAATGGAAAATGAAGAAAGAAAAATGAAATAAAACTTCTTTCAGCTTTAGGACCTGGCAAATTAATAAGTGGCTATGATTTTAGCGCCAACACAAACATAGCTCCTTTAAAGAAAAATATGTAACCAGTATCTTCTAGAATCGCTTGATTAGTCACATCACTTTAGCATTATACTTAGTAGAAAACTCCGATTTTGAACACGAACGTGTAAAAACTATTGTACGGAATTAGAATCGTGATATATCTTGAGAAACAAGCACTATTCTTCTTATGATACTAGTTATACAGAGATCTTGATTAATCCTCCAACATTGCTTATAAATTCAAGATACATAAATCCTGTTCAGTGCATACACGACGGATAATCCGTTCGGATGCACCGGTAAGCTATAAACCTATGTTATTCAAGAGCGTAAGAAGATTAACGGCCCCGTGTGAAATTCAGTGCATTGAGTAAATTAACTGTGGTCCGACCATGAGTACAAGCTGTCGATCGAATTTGAGAACTAAAGGAACACAACATACGTTAAATGAGTATTTGATTTATTTCGAATTGATACAGATGTTACAATACATAAAAAAGACACTGAACTTTATGTTGTTTTTGCGGTTTTAAATGAAAAGGGTCAGAGCCGTGACTTTAAAAAGCAGTTTTCTTTAATTGAATTGCTTTCTAAGGTGCGCATCCAACGATTCTTCTGTATAAATTGCTATCGACTATATAGCCAATAAACACGTAAGTATTAGCACTATGCAGCTCTCCATTAGCTGCGCCTCAAAAAGTTACTAAATTCAATTAAAATTTAATAGCACTGTAAATTTATTGGCTGCCAATTTTGACATTCAAGTTTCTCAAGAATCCATAACTAATCTAAACTAACGTACTTTGATTTAATACAACAATTTAGTTCATCGACTAATACATTTTAATGGCCACGGCCACATATTTTTTACCATAACCAATAAACTTAGAAACGCAACCATTTTAATATCAATATTTTGTAAGTTGCTTATCTGTATCGAAATTTATTATCTTAACTCGTTTGGAAAATGGCAGTAGACTGGTTCAAGATCTGCCCCCAGGTTGTGAGATAGATATCAATTTGCGGATGCCTACCTCCGCCAGTACAATACGACCCATATCAGATCCTTTCGTTCGTGTTTCAGCTTACCAATACTAGATTCGACAGAGATGTATTGAAAGATGTTCAAGAAAGATTGAGTATTTATTGTAAATGTTGGTACTTTAGGGAAGTACGAATAGATAAGAAGGAAAAGGTTTATATTCTTGCAAGGGCAAATTCTTGGATATTAGTAGGTGACTTTGCAAATCTGAACAATGTATTTAATAACGTTCTTTAAATCAACAAGTGTAGGCGCAAAGGACCCTTAATGGTTTCTTTTCAATAATCCCGTCGCCTACAAGTATCCTTACTTAGTATAACTCCCGAGAGAAAAAGTAAAACACCGCAGACTACCGTGCAATCTGTTTCACTTTAGGGCGTCTTAATAATTACAAGTGGCCATTCCTTCCAATTAAGAAAAGTCTCCGACGATAAATTGCGAGGGCTGTCGCAGCACTCCGCTCGAGCGGCCGCGGCGTTGTTATACCGCGCGTAAACATACCTCTAGGGCTGCCACTCCCAACTAAACTCTCGCTCGCAAGCCTCGCATCCAAACGCACACATCGCTTCCACAATTTTATTTTAATGGTTTAATAAAGCGCCGAGTCCCAGCAATTCGTATTTACACGCCCCGCTGCCACCTTAATTAAAGGAGCGCACTTTCAGACGCTCCTCGACTTAGGCATATCGAAGAACAAACGCAAATTTATTCTGACCGGAGGTTTTTTCGGCATCTATTAAATAAAGAAGTCGAGGAGAATGCTAAACAAGGTTGAGCGGCCCTCGCCCTGCGAGTTTTCCACTTGAAGTGGTGTGCGGATGTGGGGTGGGATGGGGTCGCGGGGGCGTTATTCAGAGTGGCTTAGATAAGGTAAGGAGGATGAAGAGGCGAGATGCGCGGCGTAATGAACCGGCTCCGAGCAGTTTTTGTGTGGTTCGGGCGCCCAAATTGAATATTAGGCGCGATTTGAGAGCGAAAGAGCGGGCGGTAGAAATAAATCCGCGGTTATTATGTTACCCAAATGAGATTGTGGAAGGGCCCTGTTAGGTTTAGGGCCGCTGCTCAATTTCCCGTTGGTGTAAATTGGCAGTCGTAACCTCGGCTATTTTGTGGGAATTTAAGCAGCTTTCAAGAAAGTCGTCTGCATAAAATATGGGTACAATACTAGGCCGCGGCTATTACTTAGGACATTATAGTGCTCGAACGAATTTCATTAAAATAAACAAATCGCGAAGAGTATACCTTAGTCCACAAAATAAACAATGTGCTTGTCGATGTATCGGAAAATCAAACACGAGGATGTTTGCAAATAAACATTGGCCGGCTGCAACTGTGTAGCACCTCTGTGATTCGCAGTAAAAACATTTGCCGGCCAAACGGCGAGGCACGAACTGAGTGAAACCTGACGCCCCGGCTGCGGCAGCCAAGACGCGCTTGGTTTATGTAAACTTTATTAAGGCGTGCAGTTCTCGGGCCCCATCCCCCGTTTCAAATTGTAAGGCGCGTCCGTGCATTACTCAGCTCGCCGCGTGTTTTCACAGATCGACGGCTCCGTGCGCCGACTGCTAACGCCAACGCCGCATTGGGGTCATACTGCACGGTAAACTCTTCACGTTCCGCATCAAACTTATACGCGCTTACCTAGCTAAGTTTCTTAACAATCTTGTCAAAGTATGCTCTGCGACTCCCATTTCGTTATGGTGTGGCAGTCTCTTTATTATCTTCACGAACGGAAAGATTTCCTTTATAGCGCTGCTTCAGTAAATGGCCTTTGATGGTGAGGTGATTATTTGATTTGACAATGACCTGCAATAACTGAGTGGTACAAAGAAAGTCATTTAGGTACATAACCTCCGCAAAGTGATATTTCCGGTCCGAAATGAACAGTTGAGGGCTCCACAATGAGTAAGGAATAGTTGTTTCTATCGTTTGTGGGTTAAAAATGGATTGTAACAAAAGTAATCAGAATGAGGAATGTTTCTGCAAATCCATCAGAAGTGGGTTAGTGCAACAAAGACAACGTTACAAAGTAGCGGGGGTACGGGTATCGATTCGCATGCATTTCGCTTGCAGCGGTGCACGGTGGTGGCACATCTGTGCGGTGGCTGCGTTCAGCCGAGCACAACAAGGGGGCGGCCCCCTTGCCCCCCTGCCATCAGCTCTCGGTAGCACGATAGCCGACATTCGCAACACCTCGCGAACGCACTCGGTCCCGAGCTCACTTCACTCCAGGGTTGCGGTTGACATGCTTTAAAATTTAGCACCCGAGGGATTTGTGTGATTTTCTGTGTAGATTCTTTTAGATGGGATACGAAAGCTTTCGAATTTATTTTAAACGAGGCTTCTTTATCTTCGCATTTGTTCGGAAAACATTTTTAACTGTTCTTTTAACACAAATACATTTGCAAAATTCGACATCGGTAAGCTCTTTTTTATTAAACTTCTTACAGAATTTAAATCAGCACTGAGTATTGGCATTAAAAAAGCTAATTGTACATAAGGATTAGAAAGTAAGAATAAGTACATAACTAAAAATAAAAAACTTATTTCGTATATTTAATACGAACAAGTTCAAGCATCTTCCGCGCACGTTGGGAGCGGTAATAACGCAATTTATCAATTTCAGTGGGTCCCAGCCCTGGCGCGGCGAGGGTGTGCCACTTGCACCACCCACTTGTTTCAGTCAGGGCCGTGTTATGAAATCAACGTGTTCGAGCGCAACACTCCTCTCCACTCCGCGTCCGCATTCCCAAATGGAAAAGGCAGTATGCTGAACAAACCGGAATTTTTCAAAGCAAAATTTTTGCTACTGAAATTTTAACAAGTTGAGTAAAAATTGGAAAAAGTTGTACTCACATGTCGTTCCTCTGCTGAACTGATACCTGTAACCAAGGGAGTAATATCAGACACGGTTTTAAAACAGAGAGGGCGAAAAATTATTATTTTTGGCAACAATTTCAGAGCACATTTTATAGAACGGTCCGTTGGATCGGAAAAGTGAGATTCGGTGGTTAATTTTGGCTTGACGTATTTATATTTTAATTAAAAAAAAGAAGTTTTTATACCCTGGGGAAATTGTGTATAATGACTTTGTATCATAAAATACTATTCATACCTTAAATCAAATTTATAAATCACCTACTTACTACCTTTCGCATATAATTTGAATGCAGAAAAGCTTCCAGTGTCAATAACATGACTGGTACATATAACCGAGTATCTATAGATACGTATACCTGAACATACTCTGATATGTGTAGTGAGATCTGGTCGGGTGTAAAGTGGCCTATGAATATTGCAGGCCGGCCGACGACGGCACGTCACGCATCCCTCGCGGTCTGCCCCCACTCCACACGTTCGGAAATTTCAGAATTGCTTACCACACCACATTATATTATCTAATTTATTATTACTTCCAATTTCGTGTACATAGAAGGAAGTCATGGATTTCAGAAAGTTTTTAAGGGTGTTAAACATCCTTTCTCTACTAAGGGTACACGTTGGTATAGATACAATATGTAATCAGAATGACACAGTTTATATTTAATTTGAACTTTAATATATGGTAACGTAAGTTACCTAATGTTAAATTACACTTTGGCATGACTGGTGCGGTTTTTTAGTTTGATCCAGTGTGAAAATAATGTTGAGCTTTCGTTTCGATCCATTGTATAAAGGAAGCTGTTACTATTAGTAATTCAACTTGCATATCTATGTAACCTCACTACAAGTACCCATGCAGACATCAAAGGCCTCACGCCTCGCAGCTCCGTCTCTAGTTTGTGAGCAATTGCAGGCGCAATCCTATTACTATGCACACCTCGTACATATGTACTACATAACGGCACACAGACGGCGCATTAGCGCCGCATGCATTGCTACAATTAATTTAAATTGCAATAGCTCCAATTATTGGCTAGCTATTCCACTCTACTATCTAGCGTGCGGTGTACATTACAAACGCAATCATGCATTAATTAACAACATAATAAAATGTTCAGCTAGTGTAGTGGCGATTCGAGGCGATCATTATTTATTTTAATCCTCGTACCTATGTACAATCGAGCAGCATTAAAACGCGGTGGAGTTCGCGGCCCCACACACTCAAGTCACCCGCAAAATTACGTTACTAATTGACTAAAACACGCGACGCTCACACCGGCAACGAATAATTAATTGAGCGCGGGCAAGGTGAGGGTGTGGGGGTGGAGGCCCATCTGCGCGGTAACTCTTACATCAGTACACCGATAATGGCACAAATTAGCCGGGGAAGTGGCGGCGCGGAGGGCGCGGGCGGCGCGGGGGCGCTAAGCCGGAACATCCCGGAGCGCAGATTACCGCTTGCTTTTGTAATTAACCGGAGCGACGGGCGGCTTCCAAATCCATTTCTGTGTTACATTTTCATTTGTGGCGCTCGTCCCCGCCACCGCTCCCGGATTAAACTCTCCGCCGAAACCCCCCCTGTTTGTATGCCACGAATAATACTCCCCAGCGAAATTATAAACCACCTATTCGAGTGATTGATAGCGGAAACTTGAAAAATATTTTCCTCCTATCTCCGTTTACCTATTCTAACCAAACACACGGGTAGACAGACACCGATTCGGGGAAGTGACTTATTCATACTCTCAAAGCAATATCGGGAGAGCCGTAGCCGTCAGCGATCCGAAAACACGCAAACAGTGAGTTCAAAAAGCCTCTCGAAGCTGGTAAATATTGAAACAGAAGTGGGATCGGAGACGTCTGCCGCGGCAGGGCGGAGCGGGGCGCTCGGCGCAGCGGCGCGGGCGGGAGTACTAATAGTCTCCAGTGGCACCCGGCAAACAAGACGATCGCAAACACACGACAGCTCTAAAATATTCATCTTATGTATCGAACCGTTACGTCTCACTTGTGATTTGATCTCTACTCTATCTCGCATCTACAATCGACTTTTTTTGACTCGACGTCGGTTTTATGATACGTTATTAATGACTTAGATAAACGAAGCTCGAAACGACGAAACTAAATTTCTTACCATTTCCTTTGTCATCTGGTCTGTGCAAGTCAGGCGGTTTGGCTAACACTGAGAGGGGATGGTGAGGAACTCCGAGGCCAAGGAGGCCTGCTGGGGGCAGAGCTCCTTGGCCCAACAGCGGAAGCGGCGGCGCGCCGTGCGCTGGGAGGTGTGCGGCGTGCATCTGCTGCAGCAGTCGCGGCAGGTCCGGCCTTTGTTGCTGGAAATAAACAAGAAACTTAAATATCATCATCTATTTAATTTCCTACGATCATGTGAAGCGTTTAAGTCTACCTTAAAAGGACATAATGAAAGACTAATTACATCGTAAGACATAAATTGTCTTAACTTATGAGCCCATTATCCTGAATTGTGCAACTGGCCCTGAAGGTTCCGACGTAATTGGAAATAATCGACTTCAAAATACAACAGATTGGCAAAGTAATGTAACGAGTAAATTACACTCTCACAGCCCAATATGGCTGAATGAAATCACCTCATTTAAAGTCTAGAGTAAATAAAACGAGCACTTTTTAGTTTCGAGTGTCGACAGTCAAAGTGAATTGATGTGTCACCGCAGAGCTCCGTGCATTTTTAAAACGGTGCCGAGCCAAATTAAAAAGTCCTCCAAGGGCCCCCTGCGCACAGCTATATTTTAAATTTTAAATGAGAGTTTCGCCGGCGGCGGCGACTGAGCGAAATTGATTACTCCTTCTCCATTATTCCGCTTTTTCCACTTTTCCCGTTTTCCCGCGCTTCCCGTTCCTATCTAGTCTCGTTTAACGTTATTATTATACGCTGGATCTTCCGTCTGTAGGCACGGGGTTGGACCATCGCCCGCTGTCGTTTGTGCCCGACGCCGCCTCGCCAAGCTTTTGCCGCTCGGACGAACACGTTCTTTTTTTAGCGGTCGAAAATTAATTGGATTTTCGCCGAGGGTGGAACATATTTTTTATTGGCCGCTCACGGCTGTGATTTATTGTGTGTCAAAAGGTGGCGAGCGCCACTTAGTTGGAGTGTTTTTATACAAAGGGATTTTTTAATTTGTATTATGGAGACGTAGTTTTAGTTTATCTGAATGAATCTTCTGCCTCAACGATTTGTAAAAAATTGTCAACAGCATTTACTTAAACTGCCGGAAAAGTTGAGCATAAGAAAATACTTCTAGTGCGTTTGTGCAGCGTTCGCACTTCGCATCTGTTTGCTGTGATAAAGCATTCGTACTTACATAATAGAACAATCATCATCATATCATCGAGACGGTCCTGGGGGCGATGCAGATGTATCTCGGGTTATAGGATCTCAACAGCCCCCAGCCGCAATTCGTCGAGTAATTAATTATTCAAAACGACTATTTATTAACGTTTTAAGGCGAGACCTAATTACTCAGCGCGACGGCTGCGGCTGGCGAGGAATCTAAATTATACAAAGCCACGTCTACGGCTGGTGTGACGTGATCCCACAACAAAGCTATCGAGAACTTTGAAGCCTCACACCTCGACTACCTCGCCCGCCACCCACCGTCAGCCACCTCGGCCTGTTGTCATGAATGACAATAACGTGCCTGGTATCTCACCGCGATATTTTTTCCACGGCGCATATTTAGACGTGATTAAATAGCGATGGAATCGCCGGGGATTAAAACTCGTTCCCCTTAACGACTTTTCCCTTGGTTTGCTTATCTTCCCGCGAACTTTGCTGTTTATATAATCAGCCAAATTAAAGTTCGCCGTTTTCGTTCGAGGCAAAGGAAGATCTTTTTTTGTTATTTGCCTGCCTATGATATAAATGTAAAATGGATAAAGGTTCCACAAAAAATATGTAGATTTATAAATATGTTTTTCCATTTCCAGCAACTCTATACGCGGATACAAAATGTATTTATTCTACAAATACGTAAGAGTACACTTCGAGGAAAATGTGACCTTAAGGCAGATTTATAAAGATGTCACCGGTGATAGCAGCGGAATATTGTTTCCTCCCTTGGCGTTTCCGCAAACAAACAATGTGACGTGCATTTTATTATCGGGGCGAGGGTCGATTTAGACGTTTTATGAAAATGGCTTCAGCATGTGGAGACAAATCTTCTTTATAAGATTTATAGTAAACTAGTAATATACTTTATAGTATTTTTATTATTCATAGTTCACGTTTCTATTTAAATTCTCTATACAAACGAAACGTACGCAGGTAGACGTATATGTAGACTTCATAAACACTTCAACAACAATAGGTCTTAGAAAAAATTTCCTATCTAGTCTTATATGTTTATAACAACCCCTTACAAAATTTTGATTTAAGAATTATAGATAGATATATATTATAGATATAGAAAATTTTGATTCATTAGTGTATAAAGCGAGTCTTTTGAATATAATGGCACAATGGTACACGAAATCATAATCAAAATTACATTCGAGGTGAATAATCGAGGAATGAAATTATTTATCTATTGTTATTTCATACATGTTTCGGAATTCTAAGAGACGCGCTTTATCTCCAAATTCTTTTATCACGAGAAAAATGCTCCGCCGCGTCCGGGTTTTCACGCCACATTTAGCCCTGTCTGTACGCAGGATTATACTCGATTTATAAATGGATAGCAAACGCCGACAGAACAGATTTTTTCAATATCAAGCACATAAAAATCCTTTACGATATTTTTTCTACAATAAACATTTTTTGTTGTTTAATATCTTCTATTACGAAATAATAATATTTACTTGTTTACTACTCCGAACACATAAATCGATAAGTCAAAATGTATTGCTTGCAAAATTTCAGAACAAAATACTCCAAAACTAGGCTTAGCGGAAATTAAAAACATACGCATTCATGCGTAAAACGACCAATTTGACTATCAGCGCACTTACAAAACTATAAAAACAAACGGCTTAATGGCCAACGTCAACGTCTTTGTAAATTAAAAAATGCTTAATGCTATAACATTTTAATTGGTTGAGCAATTAGGGGCTAAGTGGCAAATGAGTAAGCGAGTAATCTTAGCGTTAACCTACAATTAGTTGGTTTTAATGGGAGCTATCGAGACGGGAGAGGAAAATTTCCACTAACACACTTAAATAATTAAACGTAGTTAGTTTGCGGTTAAAGCGCATTAAGCGCTATTATGTAGCGATTGCCCGCCGCCCGCGCCGACAATATACCGCCTTCCCCTCACCCCGGATTAAGATATTGCACAACTTTAACAAAGATCTGACAGATGGATGACTTATGAACTTTTATGATCACTTGACAGGTGGATAATTGCTTTGAAATATTGATAAATAGTAAAATAATAACCTGCAGCGCCATAAGAGGTCTTACGCATATGGATTATCGTGACACTATTTTTTAATCTAATCGTAAACTTTATCGTGATTTATATTGTTGAACAAACATATGTAAAACGTGCATATGGGTATATGCACGTATACCGTACCTATTTCTGAAAACAGAATGGGACATAAACATTGACAATGAGCAGTCCGCTTCGTAAACTCCCGATCTTTTTAAAGTTTATAGTCGTTCCACAATAGATTGCATGTTAGGCATGAATACACACCATAATTTTAGAATTATTATAAACAATTGTTTGCGCAGTCTGTTGTTAAAGCAGTTTGTCCGTGAAAAGGTATAAAACGGTAACATAAGCTGCAGAGCGAGTAGTTTATTGAAGGGGGAGCGAGGGGGCCCCGGGGGCGCAGCTCACGCACCATTAGGTCGGGAGTACAGACCTCCAGCCGGTGGCGGCGACACGCGACGCCGACACGTGTTACACTTTCAACGTAATTGCTTCTAATCACATACCTACCCACCGCTCACTACTCGTACACATACATGATACACAATCCAATAAACATCGACTGCTTTAATGGAAATACGACTGAACTAATATTAAAATCGTATTTACATTCGGCACTTCGTGTCTCATTAATCATTCATTCACCGACTCATAAACTATTCAAACGGATGTAAAAAAGACAAACGTTTATTTTACTATTCATAACAAAACGTGTACGCAACTTGACAAATAGGATCGGAACTTGGAGCGTAAAAACTGGGAATAAAAAACTGGCAAGCCGGATGAGTCGTAAAACTGATTACATAATTTCATTGGAAGCGACGACAGAATGGGCCCTAACTCACTTCCTCGCGTTGAAAAACAAGCTACGTCTAAGCGACAGGGGAGACGTTAATGCGGCTCGGAGACGCGCAAGAAACGCCGAGGGCCTGCAATGCAATATTTATCACCCGCCCGCGAACGTGCCTGGGAAAAAATGACAAATTCATGTTTCTCCCGCCCCGTTGAAACCCCACACCCCGATATATTCTCGTCGTAATTTTTATCAGAGGGCGCGCGACCCGTAAACTAGATAGAAATGTTTTCACGACTCGCTTGTTTATAAAGCCATCGATGACGGGGAAACAGATACGCTCTATTTACACAAGCTCGCGTGTTTGCTCACCTATCTCTCTAGATAATGTTGCATAAACTAGGCACACATAATACACTTGTTTATTTCTAGTGTTTGTGTCAATGATACGGCTTTTCAATTACGGGAACGTTGTTTATTAAACATTAGAAAATGAGATAGGTTTGTGTATTTGTGACACGTGGTTGTGCGCTGTCAAAGTTACATGAATATTGTTTCGACGTGAAACATTGTGTCATGTGTAGAGGTGAACATGAGAGGGTAGTATCTGGAAGCTATTACCTCGGAGTCGGGGGCCACCCCTCGGGGCTGCGATGCGGAATAAAATCAGAACGAGAAATGATGTACCCGTCGATAACCGGGCGGGGACGCCCCAATGCCGACTTCCCTTATTGTCGAGAAATTCACGCACATTGCCTGTACACAATGGTGAACAGTTTTACTTATCGCGCTACGCTATTGATGCCCTCGAACCGTTATTTACCGTCGCTAAAAGTACTTTACGTAGGAGTTAAAAGCAGAAAAGCACAACAATTTCAGTAATGAAATATTGGAGACAAAGCTGTGAATCAAGAGCCGTAAACAATGCTAAGAAACAAGACGTTTACGAGATGACGCTTGCGAGCACTTGGAACGGTAAGTGATTTTAATAGGCAGGCAAACAGTCCCCAATTTGAAGAGTATTCCCTCTTCACAAATCGGCGCGCGGCGGAATCGTAGCAAATCAGACGGAGGGTGGAGGGCGGCCACTCTCAGGGGAGAGCCCCTTTGATCCCTAGCTGACCCGAAAATAAAAAAGGTTCGTAATAAAAAAAAGGCCCGACATACGGAAGGTGGCGCCGCTTTTTTATTTAAATTAGAGTGTTTTATAGGGGGGCGAACGATATTGCGTTTTGCCGGTGTCTCGAAGTCTGTTTGGTAATCTATACGTGTAGAGAAGGCGCCTAAATCCAGGGGGCGATGAACCTTGAGCAAATACTTTTGGGTCTTAAGGTATTTTTCTTTATCCTCTGGGTGTTTTCTGTTCGTATTCGTGGAATAAAAAGGGTTCTTTCTATAATGGTTTATGTAGGCGGCGACGCGTGTTTACGTGGATATGAGAGAGTGATAAAACACGATTTAAGGTGTCAAACAGGCTATTAGCATTAACTTCGCGGATGCCAAGACGTTTAATAATTATGGGAACGGTTATTAACAAGATTGGAGTGCCCGAACGTGTGTAAATAATTCATGAGATTGTTGATTCATAGCCAAAGGCTCCGGACCTTTTAGTGTAGAGATGTTCAACCTTTTTGGCCGCAGGCCGCTAACATTTGTTCTTTACTTTGATGGAAATATGTTTAACATGTTACTTTGTTTTCCCTTTGCTTGTTACATTTCTTTTAAGGCTTTTGGTTTCTTTCCTTTTATTATGTAATCAAAACGAAGATGTCTTAGCACAGGCAGTTTTGTATATGAATATTTGTTAATTTGTACAATACAATACAATTAAAATAAAATGAAATAAGCGGTGGTACAATGGGCGGTCTTATCGCTTTAAGCGATTTCTGCCCGACAACCTTTGGATGGGAGTAATTATAGCTGACAGGAAAAAGACGGCGGTGTATGAAGACTTAGTAACAGATAGATTGACAATCGATAAATAAATACATATATTATGTACACATAATAAATAATAAAACCACAGTGTGTGTGTGTGTACGTACGTGCGTGCGTGCGTGTGTGTGTGAATGTCACGAACTACTAATAATTCTACATTAAAAGCTAAATAGATAAAATTTCATAATAAAATGTAATTGTACAAAAATTATACATTATTTTATTCACTGGACGAAGAATTTATAATGTCAAAACAAGACTTTTCTATTGCCAACTATTTCACGAATATGTAGGCGATCTATTTGTGTTTTAAAATTAGTAACTGTTTGTTTTAAGCTGGTATTAGAATACATTGGTGTCGGATGGGGACGGGACGGGGGACGGTGCATTGTGATCGACTTGGCTTCCAGCCAACACTCGAGTCTATCGGCCTCAGAAAACGAGTGACGAGTGTTCCACCACTTTATTTTAGCACTCATTATCTTTAAAGTGATTTATTTTAGACCTATTCAACAATTTGAAACGCCCAGCGTTAACACATCACGAGAATAGGTCGCACTAACGACTTGGCACCCAGTGTCAAACGCCCGTACCTATTCACTGCAATGAAGTCGGCGGCAATGAAGTCGTGACGATATCTCGCGGCAAAAAAATGCAATTAGAATGTTGTGGAATTAGCGTTTGCAATTTGAGGAAGACTTCTCACTAAACGATGTGTAGATACATATTATTATATAGTATTCATTAATTGTGGTTGGCTTTGCGTGTTAATCTCGGATCGCCCATGCTAGTGACAAATGGGTGTTTCGCGAGTTTATAAAACATGGTAATACGGGCTAGAAATGTTATCAGGTGAGGCGAGACACGTTTAGATTGGAACGCCTCTAGTTTGTAGCAGTTTTATCAATTTCTCTTCGGCTGGCGGGCGGCCAACTCGTCTTGCGCGGCTTAGATCGTTTAATTAACGGCTGGAACTTTCGACCTGTTGAAAGCACAGCTTTTAGAACTTACTTTACACTCTTGTTGTTATAACTATTTTTATTCGTTAATTTTAACTATCTATTATTAGTTTACTTATTTGTTTTTCACTTGACGCGTGTGTAACGATAAACGATTTACGTGTTGCTTGCCAATGTTTATATTAACGCTCTTCAATACTTTGTTTACAAGTGCAATATAACAGACTAGCAGTTACGCAAGGACTTGCCTTACAATATACATCTGTAAATATAAATAAGCATCGTTAGGCAAACAATTCAACCGCTTCTGGCCAAAATCGTGACTGTTATAAAGTGTTACAAAGCCTTGATGATCTAGTGCATATTGCGTTTATTGCTATACTATGGCCTATCATGAAATTAACGCGAGAAATCCGTGAGATTATTGATAAAACTACGTAATAGATTGCCTGTAACACTATTTGTTTGTACTAAGACCACATAACGTTTACCTAATAAACGAAAGTTAGTTTAATAGCAGTAAAGCTCCTTGCTAAAGAGTTCGCCCAGTGAAGTACTGTTAACTTTTTTCCTATATCTATGGTCACCTTACCTATTACTGCCGCCAAGCATTAATGTGAGCATTACTGTGCTTCGGCTTTGAAGGGTAAGGATGCTGGTGAAATTACAGGCACAAGGGACTTGTCAACTGTCTTGTCAATGTTTCAGGGTGACAGGTGCAGTGGCAGTGTCCCTTAGATCTTTGCTATTTAAAGCTCTGAGTGGCACTGTAACTGCTATGGACAGGCGTGTCGCTTAACACCAGGCGCATAAGTTGTACGTCCTGTTACTTGGTATCATAAAAAGAAAGTTAAGAATGAAGCTGAATAAGACTCATTTAAAGGTGTACAATTCATGCCTAATTCAAGACTGTTGTTTTGAAACTATGTGGTGAAATGATTGTTCACTTGTCACGTGTCTTTTGGGTAATTATAATTTAGTGTATATGTATAATATACTATACTTTGATGACGCAACATATTTCCGCTTTCAAATATTATCGTTGACGTCATTTCAAAGCAGTGTTTACCTTAAGACCCTTTGTCTAATTCTAGGCCATGAGTGGTGGTAACATTTCACGCGATGTTCGAACACGTGTCGAGTTTGCTCGTCAGTGGTGTAATGTGCCGAAGCAATGTGGCATCTGTCCAAACCATGGCCCAAACATCCTCGACTGTCAGTTTGCTATTATACCTACATACTCGTACTTACATATGAAAAGTAGTGCACAATCACATATAAATGCATGCCTGAAAAAAATTATCGAAATCGGGTCTACATAGTAAAAAGCTTGGATAGTTGATCACGTAACAAACATCAAACACCGAAGAAGTCGTTATGTAGATAAGTTTTATGTCCCTTCGTTTGAAAAGGACTTTGAGTCAAAGCTCATACTGCCTCCTCTTCAGTAGTGAAATTTTTTTAAGATAGAATAAAAGATGAAGATACAAGATTCTTGAAGATGTTTTTTTTTTCGTACATAAAGGATCTTGGGTCTTACACTGCCTCCGCAATATTGAGTTAACGTCTTTAGTAGATGAAGATTACATTGTGTAACAAGCGAGCATAATATTTTTCCAACCGTTTTATTCTTTGCTACTTCTACCTTTTTGTGGGAAATGAGGGTAGAATTTAGAAGATGTTTATGATACTATGATGTAACTTACCCCAATAATAGCGTTGAGCTCAGTCATGGTGACCTGCTTCGCCCTTTCCACGGCCGAGGCGACTTGCTGCTGATGCTCCTGCGACAGGAACGGCAGAATCTGCGCGATTATCGCGTTTAACCGTTTCGCTATTTCCGTCTGAAAAATATATATAAATATTACTTACAATTCAACCAGTCAGTTCGATCAAATGTAAATCAAATAAATGAGGTACTAATCGTATTCAGTACCATAATTTCCTTTTTTTTAACCCCCTTTGATTAAGTTTTCAATATGATAAAACCACACCCTTTCCATTATTCAACTAACAAACAACCAGGTTAATAGCTACGTTAGCCTCTGAATTTTAAAGCAATCACCCAAAGGCTATCGAGATAGAAAAATGATGTCGTCACAAAATCTTAATACCGATGCTCTTAATACAACACGACACTTAATTAATGGTAATATTATTCGACGATCTATTTCTTTGAATAAAATCAACATTACCAATCAATAAGTCGATAATGAATGCGAAGTGTCCGGCGAACTGAGTTACAGGCGCGTATACACGCGCTGACCCGATCGCTCGACAAATTGGTGGCGCGTATGATTTAATAAGCGGACGTGGGTGAATGATCTATGGTAGCCCCACGCTTGAATGAATGCCCAAAATGTTTTCACGCCTTTCTAAATCATTGCGACACATATGACAAATGTGAAAGTGATAAATGGAGTTTTATTCTCAATTGTAGAGTCGTTCTGTCATAATTGATCCTGTTCAAACGAGCATATGTTTTCATTATGTCATTCAATTGTTGCAGAATATTGTTAGTACAACAATTAAGCAAGACTTCTTAGTACATTGATAGCTCCACAAATTGCGAATAGTGTACCGAAAATGTATCCACATTTCACAATTCAATTATAATTATTGTAGCCGATAAGCCGGGCCAATGGACGAGTACAAATAAAATTAACCGGACAAACAATAAGCGCGGTTAAACGAGATGATAAATCGCGGTGTTACGGGTCTGCCGTGTTTATTGCCTCTCGTATTTTCCGTTTAAATGCACGTTAATTTTATTCACAGATTCGCAGTGAATCGAGGACGAATTAACATAATGAGCCTTCTGAATATAAAGTATTTTATAACGCAAACATGAAGTCATTTTGACATTTATTCGAGTTTATTGACGTTATTTCAAGTTGTATTTTATTGGTATAGTATTAGGCAAGGTATTAGGCAAGAGCGTTTAAGCTTTACTATGAGTGTTTATGAATCTGGGAGTCGTGTAAACCTTATTTTAGACAACTATCTATTTTAACAATTCCTTGTCTCTATATTTCATTTAAGTTGTTAACAGGCGTGACTGAATGTTCATCTGAATTTAATAAGGAGAATGCTTCAAATAAGTAACAATACTAGGAGGAAGGACAGACGTGGTGTCCAAAGTTAAATGTTGTAAAACATAGTCCAAGACACCAAACAACAAAAATGTTTAAAAGTCTCCCTACTAAACTTAAAATAGCACAGGATCTTATATCATTCAAAAAGTATTTAAAACATTTCTTGTTGGAAAAATCATTTTATAGTATTGATGAATTTGTATTTAATCGTGTTAAGGATATCTAATTTGATATTGTTATTATTTTTTGTATTATCACTATTTTTCATTAATGACTTACTAATATATTAAATATGGTCGGTCTCTTATTTGTTTTTCATGTAAGTATTTAATATGTAATGAATATGATATAAATGTAATGGTATTTTGTTCTAACATAATCTATTTGGCTAAGGAAATAAAAAATATATAAAGAAACAGTTTTTACTAGCACTTGTCTTGTGAAAGAGTTAGTACAGGTAAATACTGTCACTTTACCTATTCATGCCGCCAAGCAGTAATGTGGACATGACTGCGTTCCGGTTTTCGAGGGCCACTAGTGAAATTACAAGCACATAGGACTTGTCAAATTATGTCTCAGGGTGACAAGCGCAGTGGCAGTGCCCCTCAGATCTTTGCAATTTGAAGCTCTGAGTGGCACTGCAACTATTTCGCTTAACACCAGGCGTACGGTGTGTTCGACCTGTCACCTGTGACCGGGTATTATAAAAAAAAAAGTTACGTATATTTTTACTACTATTGAGTATCGTAATTGTACGTGCAAAACTTAGATATCTACAAGATGTATAAATAAAATTGTAGAAATCCAATTGCTCATCGAAAGAGTTTACTTCAACACTACTATCGCTCGTGTAAACAGGCAACGTTTTAACCGAATTCCAATCGAATTAAGCCAACACACTCGAAAGTATTTATTAAAGGTTATGTGGTTAGTTATTTCAAATCGGTTACTGCGATACTAAGTTGGGTTATTTATGGACTGGTGTTCAATTAGTGTGATCGAATTGCGGGTTATTTATATTCCAGATCGTTGATCGTTCTAATCGTTGCTGTAAATTGTCGAAGTACCACGTTCCATTGGGGATACAATGTTGTTCTAGTAGTAACCACGTGCTACAGGTTAGTTGTAATTTGCGAGTCCTTTTATAAGGTACTCCTTTTATAAACATACTGGAGCACGTGGTAGCGATAGAAAAACCCAATTAATTTACTATTTTTTTAGGCAAACGAGCAGACGAGTTACATACCAATAACGTCAGAGGAGCTGCCTATGCGTTACCAGCTTTCGAGAGCCTGCTGACTCGCTTTTGAACTTCAAGTCATAGAGCAAATACTTCAGGACTATTCCACATCCTGTAGGTTCGAGGAAGCATTGAACAAGTTGCCCACTTGGTATTAGAATGCCAGACATGCAGGATACGGGGATTGGCTCTACTCCTATGGTGGGAACTGCTGATGGTGGTAACGTGACAGTAGCGCCAGTTCGAAATGGTATTCGAGCTCACCCCGCCATAAAGAAGGCGGTAGAACACACACAGACAGCCAACGTCACTAGTAGACTAATGGGACTTCAAAAGCTCCATTTATAAAATAAAACAAACAAACTAGAACAAAATTGCTAATTGTAATTGGTGTTATTGATAAACTGTATTTTTCCCGACCATTTGCGATATTGTTTTTACTTTATTTTACGAGTAGTTGTATTGCATAAATCCTATCCTTTAATTCCTATTTATTGCCTAAATGTTCTCGCTCAAAAACTTTATTTATTACTCTCATTACGTATTCAACTTTTAACCCTAAACGACTGTGTTTCTCGCATACGACATTGCATAAAATAATAAAATGGTCTTCACCATAATTATGAGCGTAGTATGCGGTCTACTATGACCAAAACATGGTGATATATACAGTCTTTAATATAATTAAGTAAACCGATAGTATGATTTAATTTCGAAATTCTTATCAGTTATCTCTTAAATATAAGCAATGATTGCTAAATGGTCAATCAAAATAATATTTTAATATCTTATTTTTCTATAAAGATGTGGTGGATATACGAGCTAGAGTATTTAATTAACGTGTATTTTTATATAATTTTGAGTACTTTTCGCTCTCCGCTGTACAAATGTCTCCATAGACAATATTAATTGGTTACCCTACTGCAGCCGAAGTTTAATGCACGTGTCGTTGCGGGCAGCCGGCAGCTACGCCGCATGCCCACAAATTGCATTTTCATTCCGCGTCGATAAGTGTACTATTTATAGCACTCGCACAGAAAGATATACTAGTTTTATTGACGCTCCAAATTTCGATGATTTGGGAATATACCATATGTGACATTTAACATGAAACGTTTCCGTTACGCGCGCGCGTGCTGCGTGCGTGCGTGCGTGTGTGTCTGAAAATTTAGAGAGACTATTATTTACAAATGGCATAATAAAAATGGTACAAAGTCGGATATAATAAAAAAATTCATTTTACAATTCCGATCTACAATAATTTACGTCATTAAAGATCGGCCAAAATATATTAAATTGAATATATTCTAAAAGATAACATTTTAAGCTTTCTTTCTTTTACCTTTAAAACTACACCTACATAACAGTTAAAAAAAAAACATAACGGATATACTATGAAGAATCATTATGCAATAAATAGAGTCACATGTATATAAAAGCGACAGAACAATAGCAAATAAAATATGGCTAATGTAAAAACTATGCAATTTATTAAGGCACGCTTTGTTCGTGACTGGTGTAGAAATAGATAATTACTTATCCGTACTACTATTGTACAAGACATTAACAATAAGTATCTAGTAACTTATAATCAAACAGGGTAATTGGAATAACGCCTTAGAAATCGGGATTTCATTTTACAAGGCTTTGTACAGTGTAAGGGATACATATCACTGTATGGCGCTGTGTAGCACTGCATCAATGTTGCCATATCTTATAAAGAGTGATTATTCAGGAGATGGCAAAACTTTCTATTTATTTTAAATTTTTTATGAAGGGGGTTAATTTGGATGCATTACTTTAACAATAAGTAAAAGCCAGCGTGTGAATATGAAGGAGATATGATGTGAAATCAGCCTGCAAAATTTGTATATACAATCCATTTTTTGCATTTCAGTAACTGTGTGCTTTAAGATACGAGTTTAAGAAAGTAAGGCGAGGATATGGTAAGATTTAAATAACTAAAACTTCAAAACATAAAGTCTTTTTTTCAAATTGACACGTACCGTGCTCACCGAATGAAAAAGAAAATAGGAATGCAATAGTATTTAGTAAATAATTATATTATGATATTATTGTATGTTTTTTTTATAAAACTGCCTGTATAATTATTTGCCGATATATAGTGGTACATTCAGTAATTTGGCAACACTACTCTGACAGCGTCTATCCGTGACATAATGCTACGTAGCGCGATATACCGCGACAAACTATACCTGCACGGCTCATAGTGCTAAGGCGCGTTTAATTGCCTTGATTGACCATACTTCATCTAATACGTGTGATTCCTTGTGCATACATTTAATGTGTTATACACAAACGTAACAAAGACACAAGTCTTAGTAGATATTTTGAAGACTAATAATGTTGCAAAATGTAATAAACAATCTCGAGTTGTCTCAAACCAGTTTACAACAGTCTGACTCAAAAGTTAAGAACTCTACAAGTCGTGAATGTTGTTCGAATTATATATTTCGTCACGTTATTACCCTTCTAAGTCTAATCTGAA